TGCTGAATATTAACCAACAAAAGGATAGCATAAAGGAAGTTTAAACTCAACTGTATGTTGGGGGAGCAGAAGCAGAAGTTGATCTCAGCTGCAGTAAGTCTTTAACGTGTGCATGTATCTAACCGTAAGACACATTAAGGGGAGGAAACAACCCTATTCCATTACAGCTTCACTACTGCACAAATATATTTTTAATAACTTAGCGAGATTTGTATAACTTTTCCCAGCCATACAAGGGGCAAGTAGGTGGGAATTTGGCAGCACAGGCACACATGTAGAAAAGGAAGGTAGGCTTGGTCAACACCAGACAGCAGGGTGAACCAGCCAGCCACATCCAGGCATTTCTGTTGGTTTGAGGCTGGCACACACTGCACAAAAATTGAGACTCAGATGGTCAACAACCATACACTGTGGGAAGACAAGACTTCTCCTTTGAGTTCCTTCATTTACTCTTACTCAGGTCCTGCACTCAGTATCAGGTTTTTTTTCTTATTCAACAACCTTCAGGACTTTTCTGTCATCCTGCTTTTCCCCCTTTCTCCCCTGCATGGGTCAGTTTCAGTCACACAGCAAGGGTGTGCTTCAGAAAGAAGAGAATTTACACTTGTATTTCTTTGAATACACAGAATCTCTGGCCCAAGCATGAAGAGTGTATATAAATTTTTTTTCTAATTTAAAAAACGAGCAGGAAATTCTCTCAAAGTTTACCTCCTGTTCCTCAGATTAAGTGATCAAAAGGTAAAGCCTTATTTTACTCATGAGGCAGGTAAAAAGGTAACAGCTTGGCCACTTGGTTGATAATTGGACAACACCAGATGGCCTGATCAGGCCACCTCATACCAGGCCTCCTGCCCTTCCTCATCTCTGATCAAACCCCTGGTCTAGCTCATAACACAGCCTTACCACAGCTGAAGGAAGGGGACAACAATCTCCAGTGCCAGTTAGCTCAACACGACAGTGAGCAGCTTTACCACTTCATGCCCTTATTCAAGCTTACAATCCATGACCTTGTATTTCACTTTCAGTTCTCACACGCATCACACAGATACTTGCCTTTTTGTCTTGAGGGTTTAGCTGGTTCATTAGCATAGTCATATTTTCAGTATTCCAGATCCAAGATTTGCTTGTGAAGTATTCCAACAACATCATGGCCCTATGAAGGCGTGTTATTGTTTTCATCATCCTGCAGTCCAAGGCAAGGAATGTACAGGTTACAGTGGAAAAGGTTACTTCAAACAAGAAAAAAAACCAGATAGTAAGACTGTACATTTTTTTCCCTCCAGCCCCACATTCTTGGGTTAACATATCCCATCCTGCTCTGTACACAAAACAACTTTTATTAGATCAACAGGATATTTCTGCATATTATTAAAGTGGACTTTGGCTGTCCAATCTTCATATAGAATAAAAAATTATAAGACAATCCTTTTTTCCTAATCTTACTTCCCAGTGCAACAGTAAATTTCTTCCCTATGAAATATGGCCCAGCCCCTTAACAACACTGCTTCTGCAGCAGAAGGCAGCAAAATTAAGGGCACAGCTAGACCACAGCAGATCCTGCTAGTTAGGTGATCAATTCCATGCTACTTCAAAATATGCAGAAATATATTCCATCATCCCTTATTATGCAGAAGAAGCAACTCTACAAAACCATCACTTGGGAGTACAGAGAAATTGTTATAAGGATCAGTTTGGGCAAGTTTCTTTCATCAGATCTGAAGTGGACCCAAAAAATTTGAGTCATCCAGTCTCTCTGATGCAAAGTTCCCACATTTATGACAGGAAATTTTCCAAGTGTTACAGTGATATTGATGGTCACTCAATTTTAATAAGCATTAACTAGTACCACATAATCACATAATCTAATGCTAATGAAGTCCTGCTTTGGGTGCTCAAGGTGCTTCCATCTCACAGAACTGCTTCTGATTTGATCCTTATAGCAGGACACACTGGTCATTTTAAGCATGGGGGAGAAAGGGAAGGCAAAGCAAGCAGAACAACCCAGCACTAACAGGAAATGGCTTTCTGAAGGTAGGTTTTGTTCCATGAAATTCATAAAAGCAATAAAAACCACTGATTACTTTTTTCTCTGAAAGCTCCCTTAACACATTCATGCTTATTAAAGGGATATAGCACATGGTTCCAGGAACTCCTCTAAAGCAAGTATTATTCATCACTCTACTGTCACTAATGGCTGGCATCTCAGTATCAAAGGGAATATCAAGGCTGCCTTTTTTCCTTCTCATGAAATGGAGTAATACAAATTTCAGACACCAGTGAAAAAAGCAGAACATCTAAAACACAGAAAGCACAAGTATTTTTCCTCAAACCAGGTAGGAACCTATCTACAGAGTAAAATTCACTTTTATTCAAATTTTAGACCACTAGATAATTCTATTAGTAAACCTTTCTAGATGCTTTTAAACACCTGTTCATAGTTTCACCTGTTGGGCAACATAGCAACAGTAAGAGCTGAGTTCAGCCAGATTTCCTCCGATTAAAAAATAATTAGGAATATAGACTGTTCATCCAAAATATATCCTGTGTTAACTATACTGAATATTAAAAAAGTGTAATAGTTCAGTAAAAAAAATAAATAAATCAGAAAATAACTCAAAACTTTGGAAGCAAAAATTTCAACTGTCAGATAGGCCAGAAAGACCTCATAGCAGAACAGCCTGGATAAAAACAGTCCCAAACATGAACTGGTGGCCAAGTGCTTAGACTTTTTGTAGAGGTCTGTCCACTGACAGTCTTACTTAACTTCACTAACTTGCTCTGCTGTGCCTCCCCAGCCCATGTTCTTATGCTAAGCTAGGAGAGCAGCTGAGTTTTACTTAGAGCACTTAGGCTGTTACAGTTTAAGAAAACTTGAGCCCCTGCAAAATACTAAATGGTGCAAGTGAATAACTGATTAAGTGCAGATTCTGAGCTTGTTACTGGTCACTGATATTGGTTTTTACTCTTTTCTGTAAACAAAAACTAAACTAAATCTAAACTCATGTAAAGACTAACCTTTACTGGGAATCCTGCTGTCTGCTTACAGATACGGTTTTAGAGCAGAGCTAAGATGATTTAAAAAATAAAATTGAGTGACTAAGAAGAGCTTTACCTCAGCTGCAATTTTTTACCTTCCTCCAACTCAAACTGGATTTAGTGACAGAACCAGCTGGATCAATTAATCAATGGAATTTTTATAGGGTTAATTTCTCAATATATCAACCAAAGCAATCAAATGTCTCCACATTCTCTCAGTTGCTGCAACAATTAAAAAGGTAAGAGAAGAGGACCAGCTTTCTTGATAACAGCTTGTAAGTTTGCACTAAATCAACATGAAAGTACACTTTTGTTTTTTGAAAAGAAAAAGAACTACGGAGACAACCTCTTGTATTCAGTGATGTCAGCATGAGTGTCATTTATTGGACACTTATATAGCTCTGGCAGACTAGGTTTTATAACTTCAATGGCACCACATTCCTCCTGCACACAACTCAAAAAAGAGCATGGATACACATAATGGAACTTTCTCAACATGATGTTTTGAAATATACACCTCTCAGGTTGTTCCAGAGAGCCCCTGGATACAAGACATACATATTAAAGCTATATATTATAACCAATCAGTATTTCAAGCATTGTACCACACTGCCTTCATAAAACTGAAGACAAAACAGCCAGACCTGCTGTTCACCACAAAGAACTGAACATTAGTGTCAGTCAGCAAGTCAGTGTGGCAGCAGACAAGACTTCCACCTACCCTGAGCAGAATTCTGCCTCTACTAGGCAGCCCTTCTAACACAAACTACATTGCAACATTTTGAGAAGCACATCAGAGGAATTACAAGTTTTAAGCAGTAGTTAATTCAATTATCTGGAAGTTAGGTGGGCATGCTTCTATACCAGACAATTGAAAGTGACCTGGCTTAAGGCTATGACTGCATTTTGAAGTCTTGCACACAACCTGTTGTCTCCAAGATAAAAACACATCTAATGCTAAATGCAGCCTGATCCTTTAGTCGATCTACAGGCTGCTAATCTGCAAGTCTCTGCATAAGCATTTGAGATAGTTAATTACATTTTTAAAAAAGATTCCTCTAAAATACATGAAACAAACTTTCAGATTTGTCTTTGTTCAAATTTTCATTTGACTGTGAATTTTGAAGTGTAAGGCATACTCCTGGAATTCTCTTTCCAGTAGCTCAGTCCTTCATTTAAGTGCAAAATTTAAGTGCTTCCAAGAAGTAAAAAACATTAAATCAATGAAACTCTACTCAACTCATTTCTTATTTGTAAGACAGTAACTATGTGAAAGGCTCTTCATGTTAAGTTTTAAGACTTCTTATCTATAATTTCAATTTAAAGCTGTGTCCTTTGCACCTCCCTACAGGCATCAACCACACCTTCCCCTCAGTTTTCAAAGTAGTAACAGAAAATGAACTGCTGGAGAAATCCCTGAATGACATCTAGAGGTCCTGCATGCCATGTTCTTTCAGGATAACTGGAAAGATCTGCTGGGTGTGTAAGTTTAAAGGCTTTAAAACTTCAAATAAACTCAACTCTTTTTAAGTAACGTGGTTCTGTTGTGCTAAGCATTATGCAAAGTTACAAGAAAGAACTATGCCTTATATTTAAGTTAGACAATTAATGAGCTTTGCTATGCAACTAAATATATATGGCAAGCTACTGGTAACACTATCCTTAAACTTGGATGCTAAGGATTAGCACCACTATTTATGCAATGCTGTAACAGCCAAGGATTGGTGTAATGAAGATTTAATATTTTATTCTAAATACTTATTGTACATGTTCTTTCTGTAAAATTTGCAGAAAATATTATGTAAATTATTCCCTCCTTCCCTGAACTGTTAATATTAGAGAATTTTTAAATTCAAGAACCTTCAACTAGATGTAAAACCAGTAAAAATATTCCCATCTCACTGAAGCCACTGCTTCTGCAAGTCAGGTACACAAGAATGGTTTCATATTGCATGAAGACTTCAACAGGTAAGTTAAAAAAAAACTGAACAGGAATATTTTAAGATTATTATTATTAACATAATCCTTTAGTTCCAAAGGGTTATAGGCCTGATCTATTTCTTTCACTTGTTAAAAATTTCTCAGTTACAATGTATTATCCTGACAGTATCACAAGAATGCAGTTAATCCTACAGTCATTTCATTGCTTGGAGTTCTTCCTACACAGTACACAACAGAGACCTCAGAAGTGTACCCAGCCTCAGCACAGAGAGGGCAGGCTATTGACTGTGAGTCAAGCTAGCATGGTATTTGGCTTTTCTTCTGCTGATTTTACATTTATTATGCTGCTCAGGTTTTTCTGCTAAAATGTGGTGGAAAAGGTAACATTTTAGATTAAGCTAGCTCTCTGTCACTCAGAACACCATTATAATGGCTTTTAGAACTTCCATTGAGGTTTCCAAGGCTTTAGAAGTTTCCTAATAGGTGCCACCTGGTAATTAAAGCCATTCTGTCAACTGGAGAGAATGACCACAGCAACACAAGTACATCCCTATACCATGACTGGTTCCAGCCCATCAGATAGAACAGCTTTCAAAGTACTTTGAGACAATACTGCCTGCACCTACTGCACATTCTCAATTTTTTTTAATGCTTAAAAAAAAAAAGAGCTATATAATGAAAGCTGTATTCCTGTAAATGGCCTGGATGTCAAATTTAAAAGCTTCTCTTTCAATTGCATTTGAGTAACCTTAGTGACTGAACATCAGCTTGTTTTAGTTCAATTTCCCATCTCCTCTCCAAATTGGAAATCTTGGACACAATAAGAAATTCACTTGACCACTGTTATATTAACCTAATCAGGATTACTCATATCAGTAATACTTCACAGGCTAGAAAACACATTTTTGTCACCAATTGTACTAGTACTGATCAAAGTTCTAAATTCCATCTTTGGGCATCGTTTAAAAACTCAACAAAAAGCAAAACCAAGATTCAACATTCCCAGCGTTACAACATAAAATTGCTAAGAGTGTTATGAATAACATGATTATTCACAGCCTTGTTTTACTCCCACTGGTCAAATACTTAAAAGACTAGACACCTTTTAAAGACTGACAAGATTCTGGCAGTACTACTCCCTAACCATTTGAGAGTAGGTTGGTATTTACAGTATAACTATTTTTAGTGAGTGATTAGTTTTTCAGATCTGTCAGGGAAGTCTATCAATTTTTTGTTAGGAATAGCTTAAACTTGCAGAAGAATGTAAAAGCTAGAAATTTGTATGTTCAGTACTTTCTTTTGATCTGAAGAGCTTACATTTTTTTAACATGGGAAGATCCCTCTAGAGGCACAGCCTCCTGCCACTACTGCTGCTGTGTCACACTGCTGAGTAGGCTTGGAACAAAAGAACCCAGGGCAGTTTAGAAGTTTTCTCCTACAAACCATTTACATGGCTTCCTTCTACTGATCCAGTGCGAAGTCTGCTACGTAACTTCTACTTGTAAGACAGACCTAGGCTACAGGACAATGAACGAATACTCACTTGTGTTAACACACTGTCACCACAGTGGAGATTTTATAGTCTGAAGACAAATACTTTTGAAAAAATAACATATGCAATGAGTTAAGATCATATGGCTTGGCAAATCTGAAGCAAACTGAAGCAACATCTTCTACATAATTTAGCTTAGTCTACTTAGCAGAGCTATGCCATTTTCACCACCTAAAAGATCAGTCAGATGCTAGTGTCAGTATCATAAACTGAACAGAATGCTGAGATGATACAAACCAACATACCAGATCAAGTTGTATCATCTACAGGAATAACCCACAGTTATTACCTCTGCCTCCTGATGCATTTTTGGTTTATAACAGCAACAACAATCTTAATGCAAGCTTCTTCCTGGAGTTTCATGACTGATCTGAGACGTATCTTGGACAACACTGCAGAGCCAGTCATTAATCTCTTAGAAAAGCCACCACTGGATTGTTATTGCTTATAGTTAGTAAATCTAGATAGTGCCCATGCCATGTCTTCTTCACAAGTCTTCACCACTTTAGCAGGAAGATATTTTTAGCCCTGTCCTTCTTAACATGGTTCATGACCTGTCAATCTGAGCAAAAGATCGTGCAAAAATGCAGGTATCGTATATATTAATATTGACACAAGAGGGGATTGGATTAGAAACTAAGGTTAGGGTGCCTTACTGCACTTTCTAACGTTATCTTGAAATTCAAATTAAGGAGATGTCCTGTAGGAAAAAATAAGGATCATCATCTTTTGAATATTTATTATTCAAGAGCAAACATCACTTGCTAGATCTTATAATTCTGTTTACCTTGACTACTCAAGCCCCCAGACTAGTCACAAAAAACATCTGCACTTTAGATACAAAGTTCAAAGTCACTTTGAATTTAAGGACCTGTTCTCAGGGAAAAAAGGCTGAGTTTTAGTCACAAAGCATTAAGGGGAAGAAAAAAATAAAAATCAATACACATCATAGCATAAGCACAGCTTTGTTTCAAAGTCAGAGGCACAGACAAGACAGGGCAGTCACCATTACCTTGGGCTTCTTCCAGTGATCCTGAGGTAGATGTCATACAGGAATGCTGGTGCCTTGTGGCTCACAGCCATCCAGTAATGAAATAAAAGGTGATTGGAAGTGAGATTTACATTGGGCCGTCTGAAGGCCTGTTCCAGAGGATTCCTCTTGAAAGTAGAAATGACATGGTATTCTGAGAAGGAAAAGTTGCAGAACAGCTTTGATAATCACCTTGTAAAGTTAGTGTTCAGAGTACATTACAACATACAATATTTACTTTGTTAAGTTCTTTAAATAGCCACCCTAACTCATCTACAAGCCTCAGAAACTAAGTCAAAATAAAGTCATAAGCTTTTAACCTAAAATATTGTTAAACTGGTTCTTAGCATAATCAAGAGGTCTTTTATGCCTTCATATCTTCAGTATCATCATTTATTGTAGCTTCTCTGTTTCTCTTCCCTACCTTAGAAATGACTGATTTCAAAAATTCACAGCAATTTCAGTTCATGCAGCACGTAAAGCTATTTAAACAGTCTTTCATCTTTTCATGAAGAAGGCATTTCTAATCTCTGGTGAAGAATAATTCCAAAACAGAGTGAGGACTTTGCAAGCATCTGAAATGCACTTCAACTGACTTTTAAAAAAAAACTTGTCCATATTTAAGCATTAAGAAAAAAGTGATTAGGATGGGACTCCACAAGAAACTCCTCCTAACACTTGAAAATTCTGTACATGCCAGATATGCAGAATCAGAACCTTAAAAAGTTATGTTGAAATTCACCTCATTTTTGTAATTATCTCTTTTAACTCACACTGCTGTTATAGACAGTGTTTAAATACCCCAGGTCAACTTAGGATACAAATGAAGTAATCAATTTTCCAAGTTTGGCTGAAGCAGTAAGGTTTATAAATACAGATTCATATAAAATGGGCTAAAGTAAAAAGCACCAAGAAAGTAGTAAAGAGAAAATAGATTTAAGTATTTAGTTAACTGAAAGAAAAAATAACCTAAGTTTAAGAACTCTATTTCAAAAAAACAGAAACAATAAACAGCTTTAGCAAACAAGCTGACTTGCATTGTATTTAGAACAAAAACTATTACAAAGCTTTTGGCATGTAGATTACATTCTAGTCATGATATCTGAGAGCTGAAAATGTGTAGCCATAGTTTTTTAATTATTAGTTTTCCCTATACATGAATAGTTTTAGTCTCATGTACCTATTGGATGTTTAAAAAAGCCACCTCAACTAACAATTAACTTTAGCCAAACACAACAAAGAACTACACAAATGCAAAACTATTACCATATCCCTCAATTATACAGATGTACAAGGCATTTAATTGTGGGCTGTTCATCCTTATGTATTTAGTAAAATTGGTATTAAACCCAACATCACTACCATTCCTGAGAGCAATGTTTTTCTCTGCATACTAGCCATGCTCTTTAAGATTAGGGCATGGCAGCATCAAACAGAAAAATCAGTTCTCTCATAGTTTAAGTTATAATGGAATTTAAAAACACAGGAACAAAATGAAACAGTGATAATGCTACAAAGGGAGAGAGTTAACAATGGAAGGTAATGAAAAAGCACAATACACTGCAAAATTGAGAGGTATGACTATTATGCCAATTTCAACAAAATTGCAATATGACCTAATGCAAAATAAAAATGCAATATGACCTAATGATTGTAGCTTGTGCTTTTATTATTTGACCTTATGTTTCTAGTAAAGCTTATGAAAAAAAAATGGCATACCAACTTCACCCCAGTGGAAAGGATTGGTACCACCTGTTGTACAGTTATATACCATGACATTATTTGGTCTGGGGGGGGAAAAAAGACAAAACAGCAAGTTAGAAAACCAACCACCTTTTTAAAACACAGACCCTAAGTTATCTTTTCCCTCAACAGTATCATTTGCCCCAAGAGCAGAAAGCATTAGTCCTGTGTTATTTTCTGCTTCCTGTATAATCTTTCAGTATTTTTCTCCTTCTTTAACTATCACATCTCTTTTATTTCAGGTGAGGCGTCACCTGTGTTACTGTAGATTGTATTATTTACAACAAGGCTCAAGAAAGAATTTTCAGGCATAGCCTGTACAACAGCATTAGTAGGTGTTATCTTCTTTGGTGTAAGGAAGATATGCTTTGAGGGATTAACACTGTTAGAACTTTAGATTCCTTTGTCCTGGGGGAAAAGCAGGACTTTGATTACACGTTCAGTAGAAGACCAATTTATTAAAATCCCATTGCAAAGTACTTAGAACTCTCTGTTGTCACCCATTATACCTATTAACTCCAGAATACCAGGCTGCAGCCAGTGTCATATTGACAACAACATCTACTGGAACAAGATCTGCCAGTGCATCGTTGGAAGCTCTTATTGTTCGAAGAATTCCTTTTCCTGCCTTAAAGAACAAAACAACAGCAAAAAGAGATTGAGGTAAAACCCATGAAACTTTGTTGCCTTTTAAAAAGAGGAAAAAAAATTAGTATATTCATTACTTACAGCAATGATGAGACCACTAGGTCCATTGAAGTTATCAATCCATCCCTATTATGAACAGGAGGGGAGGGAAAGGGTTTGGTTAGATTATACTGAAGTCAGCAGTTTCAAATGAAAATTCGAGACGTTTCTACAAGTGTGAGGGATGGAGGGAAAAGAGAATAAAGAGGATAAATATATTAATTTCTATGTCTCTAAATGAAGTTCTTCCACAGCAAAATCTGCTGATGTAACAAGTTGCTACCACTTAAATGAGAGTTCTACCTGTAGATTTACTGGTCCTTCAAAGTGAGATTCTAGCTTGTTTATTCTTAGTGAATAAACTGCAGGGCACTGTCTGTATAGATATACTTATGTTGCAAGTATTCAAGTTTACAAGTATTTTTAGACTAGCTTCTGGCAAGTCAGAGGAAACAGGCCAGTAGCTTTGCTAGCAATTACTAGTTTTTTCATTTTTTAAATGTAAGATATTCTTTCTTAGCTCTAACAATGCTATTTAGACACCATACTTATTGGTTTGACATGTATATTATACATGCTTAAAAAGGTATACAATTATATGGTCTTGACAAGCTTGAGACACTCAACCTTGGACCAGAAAAGCCATTCCAATGCAAATCCCCCATAGAGGGGGAAGCATATAGCACATATACCATTATCAGTATCGCAAAGAGTACATAGAACTTATGCCACCCCCTGTAAAGCTTAGAGGGTTTGACTAAAAGAAGCAGAGTCAAAACATCTTTACATCCCACAGTCTCCAATTTTCTTAGTCATCCTCTGCAGCTACTGACGTACAAAAGCATCTTGAATAGGAAAAGCCAGATGAAGATACACAAAATCATGAAGTAAAAAGCAGAACTATCTCATGTTTGAAATAGTATCTCTCATTGTGATAGAAGTGTATTTTCTATAATTAGGGGTAGCTGACCCCTACATTTCCCACATAACACTATTTGCCAGCTTTTTTATCAGGTGTTATTCAGAAGCCACCAAGCCCCAACTTCATAGTCTAGCAGACTTTCCTCTACACAGGTCACTAGATAAACAGGCTGCCAGCATGTACTAGTTTACAGGCAAGAAAGTCAGGTGAAAACTCCAAGACTTACAGGAAAAGGCTCCTTCCAGCTAGCACCAACAATAGACGGCCTTATAATGGCTGTGTTTAATTTTGCACCTTCTTGTTGTACTACATATTCAGCTAAGGCTTTCGTGAATGTGTAAGTATTAGGTCTGTCACCTATCAGTTTAGGAGTGATATCATTCACTAGGCCATCATCCATCCACCTAAAGAAACAAAATAAGAGGCAAGTGTAAATTACTGTACACTGCTTCACTGGGGAGGGGAAGGGGGAAAATGGGAGTGAAAGCAGTATGTAAAAAGGATTGGCAGATAAGTAAAAAATACTTTGGAAAGTGAAATTAAAATCCACTATTTTTTTTACAAACACCACCCAATGCAAAAAGACTCAAAAAAACCCCACCCCAAAACCACCAAAGCACTAGCATTCCCCTAGAAGCTGCACAAGCACAGAGGAATAAGAAATTACATTAAGAAATTTAAGCAATAATTAAAAACTCGGTTCCATACCTCGTGTTTCTGCAGCAACCCAGTATCTAACACTAAACTAGTACACTTTAAATCTCAGCTTGATTTTCAGAATTGAGCACTAACTCTCACTTAAGTTAGCACATTACATACATCTTCCTACTTTAAAAAGCTGGAAGTTGCAAAACATTTTCATAAATATTTGCATATCAAACAATAAATGTCTGCCAGCTTATGCTGCACTCAAAAAACACAACCTCCTAAAATACCATTCTTTAAAATACAAGTTAGGGTTTTGTGCTTAAAGATTTTGCTTATTAAAATAAAAATCTAATACACAAGCTCTTAGTATTAATGTATAATATAAATTATTAGTTTACTACTTGAATTTAGATGGCAACTGCATATGTAGAACCCTTCTGAAAAGGGATATCAAGAAGAATGTTATATTTGAGATCCAACAGCAGAGGTATAGTTAGGATGGTTGGCCGCAGGACATCACTACCAACTTGCAGAAGACTGTCTATACTGAGTTCATGCTCATTTTGTTTCAAAAAACCTAAACATTTGAGAGTAAATGCTAAGAACGACAAAATATCTTTCACCAGAATATGTGCTCAGCTTCGTAAGTGTTTTGGAACTGTTTCATGTGGTGTACTGCAGGAAGTAGGTACATTTATGAAATTTGTTAAATGTAATTTAACAACAAAAGAAAATAAGTTATCAGGAATGGGAGGTTTGTCTTTAAAGGAAAGGGGCTACAGACTGATGTGAAAACAAGGTTCTTAGTAAAAGGGAGGGTTGTATCTTCACAGTCCACTGAAAGCAGCATACTGCTATTTACATTTTTGCTCAGGTATTTAATCTATTACACATGAACTACAGAGCAAGTAGAACATTACTTTTTAATAATCCCAATTCTACCAACTATGTTCTCAAACATGAAGTGCAGACAGAGCAAGTTAGTCTTTGAGACATAGCCAAACTGCTCCTCAGTTTGCATTAAGTGATTTAGAAAGTGATGCCACTGGAAAGGAGTCCTAGCTGCATTATAAGCATCACAGTAAGCTGGGTCACCATGTTTCTCCTCTCAGTTTAGCTAAGTCTTTCAATTTCATCTTGCTTCTCAATTAAGCAAGCAGTGTGTACTTAAAATTGTAATAACCTTCAGTCAGAGCACACCAGCACAACGGACATGTGCCTCTTGAACTATTGCTACTTTGTTGTTCTCCACTTCAAAATAGGACTAGGATTTTATTTGCCTCAGCCACCCAGCATCTAAGCCCCATAAATGCAATTTAGCCACTGTTATTATTCACCAATGTTCTGTTACAATTAAAGCTGACATGCATGAGACTGCCTTCATTATATGAACTGGGGTGTGAAGAGGGGTAGAAAAGTCCAGAAAGGGACAAATCTCTGTCTCAGTCAGCTGTCAGCTACAAAGATCACTCTTGTGTAAGTTTACAAGACCCTTCCCTCACTACCATGAGTTCTAAAATACAGACAGCTGCCCAAGTCCAAACCAAGCAGTTTACATCCTGGTTGCGAAAAGGAAGACTAAAATATTACCACTTCAGAATAAAGTGTATTTAAAGTAATTTAAAAAATGTTGGCTCAAAGTGCATTTTAGGTAGTAGCTTGTTTGTCTTCAACACTATGGTTCTTTCATCTCTAAGAAGTTAAATAAGGTACTTTAATTTTTAATTACTTGGTTCCAGTTTCGTAATTCTCTTACAAGGGGTGATATTTTGTATGACAAGGAAGAAGGGACAGACCAATTTAGAGAGGAGACTGATTACATTACACTGGACTTGTCCTGTATTTGCCATCTATTTCAGCTAGGGTTTGATAGCTACTAAGACAGACCACAGGACAGCTAATACATACAGACAGTAAAATACAGGAGTGAGTAATTCCTTGCAATGCCCAATTAAAGACTACAAGACTACAGAAACAGATTTTTTAATGTTTGCACTCTGAATACCTAACAGAACTACTTCTACAGTTGTGTTTCTGAGTAGTAAAGTAGTATTATTTCAGTATCTCAGATTGATCTTGCTATGTCATTTAGGTTGATGTAGTGGAGGCTGCAGTTGAAGGGGACTGTTGTTTTTATTCCTTTTCCTCACAATGCTGGTGCTGGCATACTTCTAACAGCACAGCTTTTTTGTTTTTAATAGCATCTGATTCAGCTCATCACACAGCTAGAAAACTGCCACTCTCCATATATAGGAGACCTCATGAACAGAGATGAGCATCCCCCATCTTCAGTTCTACTCCACAGCAAGCTCAGGTGAAAGTGACCATAAAATCTTAGCCCACCTCCTTCACAGAAGAGGGAAGTGTCAGCCATCCTGTCAGTCTTACAGCACAGCATAAGCTAATGACTTAATCTTTCATGTTCCTGTTTTTTGGTACTTCATTACTAGGAGGTGAGTGGTTGCAGATTAATGAAGTAGCATCATAAAACATAACACATACTCGAGACAATCAATCAGTTTCTTGGGATCCACAGGAGGTGGATAAACTACTTCCCCAATCTGTTTTTGATTGCAATACGCATAGGCAGTCGAAACATGCATGAACACTTCCAGATTCTTCATTTGCTGTGCCAAGTAGAGGAGCTGTTGTGTGGCAGTCACATTTAGCTGGACAGCATCTCTGTTGATTAAACAGAAATCTGATTAGCAGAAAGCAAGACAAAAACAGGTAAAAAGAAATAACTAGGCAATTCACTCCAGAATGCTTCCCTGCTGGGTATATGAAGTATTCCTAAACATCCCACTCTCCCCAAAAAGCATCATAGACAACATCCTAACTTTCTGCTTAGAACACTATGCCGTGGTCTTAATCTAGAACATCTCTTAATGTACAGAAAAAATTTCCAAGCTTTACTGTCTTCATGCTCCATTTTTTGAGTGGGAAAATTGCATACCTTTGATTTCCTCAAGATAAATCCTAATCCTACATTTTTTAATAAAATGTGAAGGATGTAACGCAACACAACATGCCAGACAAGATGCATGTCAGTTGTAACAGCATCTCTGAACAACTTAGTTCAAGTTGAGTTAGGTCAACAGCTTGGAAGAAAGGCTCAGAGGCCTACTGAGTTGGAGACTGGCCTCCTATTGCAGGATAGCACAAGGCTCTGTAGCACAAAAGGATTAAAGGAAGGAAGAAGACAAACAGGCAAACCACTAAGAACCACACTTTTACCCCACAATTTCACTGCTTCTCATTACAATAAAGCCTTATTGCAAAGGACTTTGATAGTGTTATATTAACAAAAAAACTGGTCCCTTTCAGGTAAGCCCTCAATTTAAGATTGCTTTATCACACATTATTATTGAAGCATTGAGGGGACAGGAGAGGGGAGACCACTATCCCAAAACAATTTACTTCAATGGAAAAATGTTACTTATCTATAAAACACTTTGTTTTTTAAGCTAAAGGTGTCATTCTTCACTGCCTCTTTCAAGAAATCAAAAGGAATTAATAATCACAGCTGTACACACAATTTTAAGATACAGAACTGCACAGCAAATACAAAGCCGGAGGAGTTCCAAAATAAGCCCAAGTATTTTGCCCTCTTGACTTTATTTCTACCACTGGCCCCAAGCCAAGTATATGGAACTTTACTTTAGTTATTTCTGTCAAATATCTGATGAAAGCTGCCCTATGTGGTCTTCAGATTTTTTAACGTTCCTCCAACCATTCCAGCATATCTGTTAGGGAAGAGCTGGGATCAGAGCACTTAAGAAATGGTCGTATTTTCTATTTTGCTGAACAACACACTGAGCCCACCAAGAAAGCAGAAATTGCCAAAGGCTTTTTGTACTAAGACCCCTTTACACCAGTCTTTCAAATTGTTTTAAAGTCCCTCTGGACTTTTCTCAGGCTGGCAATTCCTGAACACTTCAATGCAATTAAACAGTCAAACATGGGCTACCTTATGACATTACAGTAATACATCACAGGATTCTCAGAGGTAGTGCCAAACCTTGTAACAACTCAATCAGAGTTGAGAATGTTACATCTTCAAGTTGCTTTACTCACTACTCCTCCCCTCAACCCCCTAAAAATTAGAGCTGTTCCTCACAGTCATTTACCCAATTTGGATACTTATTCAATTGTTTCAAAACTAAATCAACTAATAGTTTTTGCCAAAATGCAAATACAATCTTTCTTTGCTTTTAGTTTGCCTTTCTCTCATATTTCCTCAATAGATTTGTTGTACAAAAGTTCTCAACTTCTAGTTTTCACCTTCCTCCCTGTGCATCTACTTCCTACTATTCCCTCCAATGCAAAACTCTACTATTCTTAATTAAGGACTTTCTAAGGACATGGAGAATGCTGAGCAGTATCTAATCTGTTTGTTCATCAGGTAGATGGCAAGTGCTAGAACTCCTCCAAATACAGTCTCACCAAAAAGCTATCATCTGAAACCTAGTGTTCCCCTTCTCAGAAGGAAAGCTAAAGGAATAGTTTGTGTTCCCTTTTACACATCAGAAAGAAGGGCTCTAACACTATCAGTGAGTGCAGGACATAAAGCTACAGCTTATTTGTACCCCTTCTACCCATCCCAGAGATCCAAACAACATGTGATGTAAAGAAGGCTCAGAATAAAAACACACTTTGTAGTCTCTTCAACAGCTGCCCTTCAAAAAGTCTTTGAAATGCAGACACAGATTTAGGTTAAATGAACAAAACAACAAACCAACAGAACAAAAAAATATCCAACACACACACAAAGTCTGAGGAGTCTATAACAAAGTACAAAAATCATTTAGATTCTAAGCACTATGATTTTTTTTTTGCCTAAAGCTTAAAAAAGATATTAACATTTCCATGCTGAATAGCATAATCCTAACCTCTGGCAAAGGAGGTTTAAATAATATGCCTTCCATCTCTAGGAGCAGCAAATGAAAACCCTATAGCTTAAGATAAATTCTGGGGAAAAGATGATTTAAGGCACATCATTATATTAACCAAGCACACAGAGTACATGAAGTGGCCTGACAAAACGAATACTTGCAAGATTGTGCAGGCACCTGATTTTCCCCTTCCCTTTGAGTACCATTGCTTTACCAGACTAGAACACAGAATTTTAGACTTACCTTAGTGTTTCATTGAATCTGATTGTAGCAGCACAATGAAATATAATATTAATGCATTCTATAAGTTTTTCCTTGATTGGTTCACTAAGGTCCAGATCAGGCTTTGTAAGTTCACTTGTAATTACTATTATTTTTGCTTTGAAGTCTGGCTGCTCTTCTCTCAACCTGTCAAAGAGCTTTCAAGAAAAATAAAATAAAAATACAAACTAATAGCTAGTGAAGATAAGATCCACATTTTATATAAGTGAAGAAAAAAACCTACAATTTCTGCCTATACAGAGGTTTACCTTCTTATTTCTCAAGATCATAATTTGAAAAGCATGTTAGGAATATTACAACATTACTGACTTCCCATGAACATAATCAGCAAGGAAGTTGTGCACAGTTTATCCCAAAGTTGTTATCAAAACTAAATAGTAACATTATAAAAAAGGATAAAATGTACTTTGTTAGCATATGACACATACCTTACAGCTGGTGATTTCTTCTATTCGTGCTTCAGGTGTCATCCCTGCTTTGCATCTTACCAATACATACACTGCTTGCACTTTAGGACAAGATCGGAGCAGCTTCTCCAGAAGCACTTTTCCCATGAAGCCAGTAGCTCCTGTCAGGAGGACATTCTTTCCTTCATAGTATTCAGGGATGGAAACCATTATGACCTTTCAAAAGTTAAAGAGAAAGGTATATTAAAGAACTTCTAGGAGTTCCTATTTGCAGAAGATAGAACAGCACAGGTGCAAACATTCAACCCTCACACCTCAAAAAAAATGAGGCTTTAACAGCCTTTTTTAAATTTTACTTAAATACTTACTGATGTTTTTTCAGAGTCTCACAGGGTCACTACAGTCAGCCCAGATCTTCTTGTAAACTACTCCTTTTGACAGTGCCTTAAGGAATTAGACAGTCAGCCTCAGAAAATAGCTCAACTTTTGTCTATTTTTATCTTTACGTGCATGGTCCTTTACGACTCTAAGTGACTGTTCCATGTAAATTACAGGTCTTATCATTAAAATATAATCACAAGTAGATAATTCAAATATGTTGACAGAAGACAGGGAGCCAAGCATTTGCCAATTGCCAGCCCTGGTATTTTCTGTGTGTCAGCAAAGTCCTCTGTCAGTGTTAGGCTGAGCCTTCCCACAAACATCACTAGGCCAGAAAAAAGGTATAGTTAGTTTCTGTTATGAGAACCGGTTTTACATTGACTACAAAACCCCTATAGTTTCACAGATGATACAGGTTTCCAACCTTTTGCTTCAGTTTGGAAATTGACTATGAGAATTATTATTTCTTCCCCCTCCCTTAAGCAACCACATGGAGATTATGACTAATTCTAGATACTGGAAACTGAGAGCTTTCTACAGAAAAATATACTGCTATTTTTTACATTACTGTTGTATTTGGACCATGATCTTTATGAACTTAGAAGTCATCCTGTGCCTCAAACTAGGTTAAAGGCATTCTGCCAAATTAAATATACCAACATCTGATCTGTAACCCTTCCAAACCTTACTTTTACTCTACAAAGACTGTAGCATATGATACAATTTCACTATGTTGTACTAATCTTTTTAATTAGATTTATAAAAGTAACAAGCTGATGTAGTTGAAGTCTAGCTGTAGTCTTCTATAGCAAAGCAGCACGAGTTATTACAATCAAAATGGACAGATTGCACTAAACCACAGTACTAAAAAACCAACAAAAATTAGTCTCCTTAAATACAGATGGAGAGTGTTTAAGCAAGTAAGAATTACAACACTGAATACCTAAACAGGATGATATCCTTTCTTTACCTACCAATCCAAGAAAAAAATAATGCAACTTCTCTATCACAGAACCATTGTGGTTAGAAAATACCTTTAAGATGGAGTCCAGCCATAACCTAACTCTACCAAATTCAGTGCTGTCCTGGTTTGAGCCAGGATGAAGCCAATTTTCCTTCTACCGATTTTTTTTTTTCCTTCAGTAAGCTCTCTTAACTAGCAGCAAGTCTTCCAGCTAGTGGACTGATAAAGCTGGGATGTTTATGTTGCTGTCAGGACTTGAAGGTCACTTCACTCTACTTGTTGAATCTGCAGCTCAGATGCCACAGAAGCAGAAAAGTCTTATCTGCAGCCCTCCCATAGGGAGGAATGGACTAGATGCACAACAAAATTGGCCGGAGTATTCCATTCCATATATCTACATAAGCTTGGTGTAAGGTCAGGGATCAGAGAAATCAAGCCCCCTTCCTGCTTCTTTCCTTCTCTTCCATCCACAGCCAGCATCCAGGGATGGACAAGAGGACCCACATCAGCCCATCATCAGCTGCCCCATCCACAGAATTTTCAAAGACCTAACTGGAAACATCTACAGAGGTCTATAAAGAATCACAGAATCTTAGGGGTTGGAAGGGATCTCAAAAGATCGAGTCCAACCCCCCTGCCAGAGCAGGGTCACCTAGAGCACATCACACAGGAACGTGTTCAGGCAGGTTTTGAATGTCTCCAGCGAAGGAGACTCCACAACCTCTCTGGGCAGCCTGTTCCAGTGCTCTGTCACTCTCACCAAGGCAGAATAGAGGGGGAGGAGAACCTCTCTTGACCTACCAACCACACCCTTTCCAATGCACCTGAGGATGCCATTGGCCTTCTTGGCTACAAGGGCACATTACTGGCTCATGGTCATCCTCCTGTCCACCAGGACTCCCAGGTCCCTTTCTCCTACACTGCTCTCCAGCAGGTCA